CCGGGTACAGAGATCTCACCCCAGCTGCAGCACACACTCACTGCCTGCTATCGCATCATGGAGGCGGCTATGGAACAAGCCTGTAGCCAGGGGGCGGTTTCAAATCCTGCCCAGATACAGACAGCTATCACTGGCCTGAGTCTTCAGCAGAGCAGACAGGTCCTAGGAGCTCTGGAGGAGGCCTTCTCAGCTGAAATGTACTATCTAAAGCAGGTGAGAATGGTTTAAATGCAAGTGTTAAATTAAATGTATTACTGCATTACCATTCAAAAGTTTGTGGTCGGTAAGATTTTTAAAAAATGTTTTTGAAGATGTCTCTTATGCTCATCAAGGCTGCATTTATTTGACCAAAAATACAGTAAAAACAGGAATATTGTGAAATAATATTACAATTTAAAATAACTACTTTTCTATTTCAGTATATTTTAAAATGTTATTTATTCCTGTGATGGCCAATCTGAATTTTCAGCAGCCATTACTTCAGTCTTCTGTGTCACATGATCCTTTAAAAATCTTTCACCAATGAATTGGTGCTTATGAAACATTTCTAATTATGGTCAACAACTGTGCTGTTTTAATATTTTTGTGGAAACCGTGATACATTTTTTTCTGGATTATTTGATGAGCAGAAAGTTTAAAAACAGCATTTATTTGAAATAGATAGAAATAATTTAATCAATCGGTATCTGTACTGATCCCATACTTATGAACAAAAGTGAATGTATTGTTAGAAGTCTATTTGAAGAACTTTAATTAAATGGGAATATACTTCGAATACCTATAAACTGTTATTCATTGTTTCCCCATTTAGTTGGCACAGACCAGCTATGATGACCCGTTTCTGTTCGCCACTTTCCGCTCCCTCTGTGCTTGGCTTGCTGAAGAAACCTCATGTCTGAAAGAAGATGTCATTGACCTCTTGCCTTTTCTCATCGGCTATGCTAAAAGTCACTTCAAGGGAGGGGGAGAAAGCAAGGGACTTGCTGATTGGATGTCAAAGATGTCCATCAGCAACAGTTCACAAGATGGGACCTGGAGCAGAGAAGCTGCTCTTAGGTAAGACACTATTATGCCTTTTTTAATAGAAGGTTCCCACAATCCTGGAAAGGTCATGGAAATTAATAAAATAAAATCTGCAAAATATGTGTATATATATATTTTTTTTTATTCAGACCTTATGCTGTCTTTTTAAGTGGATATATGTTCCTGCTCTTTCTTAGATATCTTCTTCCAGCCCTGTGCCACCTCTCCGCTGAAGATGGGCCGAGGCGAGTTCTTCTCTCATTGGATACTCCAGCCATGCTTGTGGATTTTCTGAGTAAAGGTTGGGCGTCTTTGAGAGGTCAGAGTGGTAAAACGGTGACCCGAGACCCCAGTCTGGAAACGGCGTGTTCGGCCTTACTCAACTTTGCCATCACAGAGCCAGAACGAGTCAGGTACACACAGATCTGAACTCACACACGGGTAAAGTTATTCCTTAACCATGAATTGATGCACTGCTCCATTGTGCTCTCTCAGGAATGATCCTTGTTTCATTGCTCTGGAGACCATGCTGAGCGAAGCACTGCCTGCTCTTCTTCATAAGCCACGCCTCTTGGTCTTAGCCGCAAACTGTTGCACTTTGGGTCTCATGATTGGCAGACTGAAGTCAACTTCCACAGGTACCTCTGGCTTGAAATTATACAAATTGGTTAGTAGGACGTACCATTTTATAGGATGTGTATCTTAGCAATTATGTATTTGATAAAAAAAACTAAAAAGGTAAGTTAAAGAAAAGAAACGCTTGGCAGGATTATTATTATATATCTAAACTAAAACTTAACCATAAAAAAAAAAAAAACATTTTCATTACTTGAATAAAATAATCATTTACTGAAATAAAAGAAAACATTACAAATATATTTATATTTCAGGTAGTTGTCAAGGCAACGTTTCTCATTCTTATTTAGTTTAAGTAATAAATAAAAACTATATATTTAAAAAAGAACACGGAAACTAATAAAAATGTCAAAAACACAACAAAATTATGAACATTTCTAACCACAATTAAAAACTGAAAATATAAAAATAAAATACAATTCAAAATATTAACAAAAGCTATAATTGTATATCAATGATAGTAAAATAGCACTGGTGTTTGGTGACATCATTGAATAGGAAAGAGTTTTCAGAGGCAGAGCAAGTTATTACTTTGATGAAAGATTTTAAATGTAACAGTTTTTGTCTTTGGAATAATGTCCACTGATGAAACATTTACAATAAGAGCAGATATGGATATAAAAATTCTATCCTACTTTGTCTAAATAAATTAAAAGCAAAAAACTCAAATTAATTGCTTTAAATAATACAAGATTAAATTTGAACAGTTTTACTCCATTATTAGTGTTTAGAAAATGTAACTTTAAAGGGATAGTTCACCTAAAAATGAAAATTGTCACCCTCATGTGACCCGTTTTGTCAGAATGAATAATGTAGAAGAATGTTGGTAACCAAATATGGCTACCAGCAACTGTTTGGTTGGACAGAATTTTCAGGGATAACGATCCCTTTAAGTGAGCATTAGATGACAGCAAAGGCAATTTAAATGTAAAAATACAGGATATGTTTATTGTTGCTGCTTAATAATGGGTGTCTTGAATCTTTGCAGACCCTGTAGAACTTGGCCAGCGGCGTTTCTTCTCCTCGGTTCTGTCTTTTCTCCTGAGTGCTGTGCAGTCCGGACAGGCTTCTAAACCGGCACGGATCAGCGCTCTCTGGGAGGAACACTGGGAGGAGGCTGGAGAGCTCTGGAGGCTCAGTTTGCAGGCTTTGGGTGATTGTGTTCGAGCTCAACCCTGGATAACCACCCTGATCAGAGATGAAGGATGGCTGCAGAACATCTTCACTCTGCTAGGATCCAGTGGTCGTCTTCCAGACCAACCTTCACAGGATGCTCTAGAGGAAGTCCTGTGTGCCATTGCCAAGCAATGCCCGGTGTGTCGCAAGGACATTAGTGAGCTGGTCAAGAGTGTAAGCTGTGGATCTCTTCAGGGTTTGCCGCAGCTTAGCACAATATTGGTGGAGTAGATTTTGTAAAATACATATATTTAATAACAGACAGATAAAGCACTTGCTATGTTGTCATATGGCTGTTTGACATTGTATACGCAAAAGGATATGTAATAAATGCACTCTGTGGCCAAAATATAAACCAGAATGTTTTGAAGTGATTTATTGTTATTTTATGTGTTCTCAAGAACATGACATTCATTCGTTTATTTCATGTGAAATGTATCTGTTGCACTGACTTATCAGTGTTGTGTGTTAGTATGTCCAGTAGGTGGCATCCTTACAGCAATCTATAGTTATTCACAAACGGACAAGGAATGATTTTAGTAACAAACTCATAATCAAATTCACAACATGCCATATGTGTTTGCACAAGGGCATTTGTTAGAAAACATGAACGTATTATTTACTATAAACATTTTGGGTTAAAATTACCATTTCCTTTCAATAACTTTATTGTTTCTGTGGTTTGAAAAGTGATATTTTGTAAGTTCAAATATACAGTGTATTTTCTCAGGTATTATGAGGTTTTACAGCCAACTTCGTAATAATTATACCAGAGTTACAATGTTTTAGTTTCAAATGACCTTGAACTGCTCTCAGGCTTGAACTGTCAAATGTATAATCTGTCGTGCCCTTGCAGCAAATTTGTAGTTACTTGCTACTGTTTTGGCCCTTTCATAATCACGTAATGCTTAAGGGATTGAAAGTAATAGACAAACAAATCAGGAGTAGTTCTTGATGTCAGTTCTGTATACTTGCGGCCTCTTCAAGCATAGTGAGCGGCCTACCTAGACAGCATTTTCGGACAAAATTATTAAACCTAATTAAACATATTTCGTTTTCAACGGTACATAAAATACATGGTATTCGAGTCCAAAAATCATGGATAATTCAAAACAATCCATGAAATGCAAAAAATGTGACGTAGCCTAACATAAAGAAATACTGTAAAACGTGACGATTTGTCATGTAAAACTAGTGTCAACTTGTCCCGACCTGACGTTAGTTCAAAATGCCCTCAACCAGACAACACAGCTCTACCTTTCAGTTAAAATCTTTCATTAGAAAGATGACTTTCGCCTGAGCGGGGTTTTATTGTGGTCTCTTGTTTATTCGACAGTTATAGCAAAAATATGATGATATATTAATGTGTCGCATTTTGGGCATATAGATTTTCTGCGCTTAAACTTTCCTCAGTGCGTCTTGCCATCTAAAATCAGGATCCCACTTGCCCCCACTTTTGTCTCACACAAGTTTATCCTCCGCCCATCAGCATATCTCTCTCTCTCCCTCTCTCTCTCTCTCTCTCTCTATCTCTCGCTCTCTCTCTATCTCTCTCTCTATCTCTATCTCTATCTCTCTCGTCTCTTTTTGTCAATAAAACTCCCGTGACTCTCCGGTACCTCTCTCTCTCTCACCGTTCATCTCGCAGGGCACATAGTCTGTTCTCTCCCGTCTTGAATTCAACAAAGGACGACAACTTTATACAGAAACATGTTGTGGAAATCACGGACCAAGACAGAACCTTACTGCTTACAGGTAGGCTATAGATAGTGTTTATTTCAGTGGAATTTGAAAAAAAATGTCATTGAAAAAGTTTTTGTTATATACTAGAACTAGATTATCACTCTACAAAAAGAAGCTATTTTCGCATTTAGAAACAATATTTGGTTTATTTTCAAAAAAAAAAAAAAATCGCTGGTAGGACTGGCAGAAAAAAAAATACAACTAAAAAATATGCCAAGAACACAAACTTTATTAACATTATTTTCTATGTGATATTTAGCCTATAGAAATCACAATTAATTATAAACTGTGGAAGATGTAAAGTAATAGTCAATGAAGTTTGGTGAACCATTAGCCTGCAAAAAATGCTGTAAAAAAGGAGAAGGATTTTTCAAATTAACGAAAATAATGAATTAATTAATGTCCCTTTAAGGTGGTCTACCCAACCCCTCCCCCCATAGTGTAGCGCTATAAGAGCGCTCGGGTGTGATTAACAGGGACAGTCTGATATAGAGCATCATCCAGAGAGGAGAACCTCACTGGGATTGTCTAGTTAATGGATCGAGATCCCGGGGTTTTATTGACTTCTAGGCTTTAAGGAGGCTGTAAAAGTCAACGCGTAAAAGGCACGTTGGAGCTCTTGTGTCCAGATGTTAGTCCACACCTACTCGACCATGGTGAGTCAAACTGATGCAAAGTTCTTTTGATCTGATGGGCTCTTCATCGGGATGATTGTCATGTGATATCAGCTGCGTTGAGTGTAGATGAAAGCGCAGACGCGCGAGCGTAATCGGGGTCAATGGTTATTGTGTGTGTGTGTGTATTATATGGAAGCGCAAAAGTGTGCTGGAGTGTTTCATTGGAAATGTCACATGCTGTCATTGGTCTAAACGGAGATAACAGACTAGTCTTTGTCTTGCAGTGACTTGGAAGTTATGTCTTGCGTTTCAACAAAGAGAATCATTAAATTCGGTGGCAGAAAAAGGCAAGACAGAAACTTCGGTTTGATTTGTTCTTATCACATGTGATGGCGGTTCCAACACTCTCAAAAAGCTAATATTAACTAGAAATAATAAAAGTAAAAATAATAAAAACAAATCAATGTAAATAAAACAAATAAAAAGTTAAATAGATATATGAATCAAAATAAAATGAGTATCTGCAAAAGTATCAAATGAAAGATGCGGTCACATTCAATTGTTATAGGGTTTCAGTCGATATAAATTATTTTTACTAAAAATATCCGAGAAATTGGAAAATGGCAAGGAAAATTATAGAAGCACAAAAAGCAAAATTATTGGGCCTACGTGTTTTTTTTGTTTTGTTTTGTTTTGTTCTTTTTTTGTGCCTGTAATCCTGTAAAACAGTATTAATTGTATCTATTGTCTGTCTATTAATCCTGCTAAAACAGTGGGTATAATTAAGACACCTGGCACAGAAAAAAAGCTCTTAGAAAAAAGGCTATTAGAATTTTTATTTAGTATGGTTATAATGAATAGTATGATTAACGACCATTAATGTAATACCCTGAAATCCAGAATATAACATTTAAACAAATTAAATTAATATAGAATCTGCAGTTATCTTCCCAGTAACACTTGACATAAGTCACACATATGTAAATTAAATAAATTATGCTAATAACAATAACTGTATTTACACACAGCTCATAATTAACAAAGAGGCCTAATTATGCTGCATATACTGTAGGCTATATAAAAATCAACCCACTATATTCAGAACTGATCAATAATTGCTATCTTAAATATCCAAGATGCTCACTGCACTTTGAATTTAATTACCGATGAACAAAATCGAGCTGAAACTCTGAAAACCTGAGTAGAAATGACAGAAGTTATTGTAACAAATTAAATGAATGGATACAGACAGCAGCATCAATTATGACATGATGAAAACACATTACCTTTACAGTATGATTTTTATTTTATAGGTTTATAGACAGTCACTTTTATTGCAGTATTAATTTACAGTCTATATTATATATTGTGTTTTTGCTTTTTTTTTGTACATTGTCTATTTTGTATATTTGTATATTATTCTTTTTATTGTCTGTGTCCTGTCTTGTCACTGTCAGTCTGTTGCACTGTGGAGCTTCTGTCACTAAAACAAATTCCTCGTATGTGAAAACATACCTGTCAATAAAGCTCATTCTGATTTTGATTCTGATTATTTATGTGTCGGACCCCAGATAGTCAACGTTATGATGGATTTTCATAAACTGGTTTTTACCCACAGGACCGTGCGGACGGACTGTCCAGCTCTTCTCCGAGCGGGCGACTCTCTCATCTCTCTTCGCTGAACCAGGCAGCGTATTCCTCGGCTCCCCCTCTCTGCCACACTCCGGCGTCCGACTTCCAGCCGCCCTACTTTCCACCTCCATACCCCCAGTCCTCCCTGTCTTATTCCCAGAGTCAAGACACCGGATACCCGCATTTACCGGACCCCTATACGTCCATCAACTCCCTCCATCAGCACCAGCAGGCAGCGTGGCACTCCCAGCGCTCGCGCTCAGAGGACGCGGGGCTTCTGTCGCAGTCACACCGCGCTCTGAGCTTAGATCCGCGTCGGGAGTATCCGGGCGTTCCGCGGTTGCTCCATCATGGACTGGGTGAAGGAGCAGCGGCGCTCGGTGAAGGTCCCCTGGGAATGCACGCAGTGGGTCTTCACGGTCTGGATGACATTCAGGTGAGTTTAATCACTTTTATCTTATTTCTTTTTCAGATATTAATGCCAAATAGTGAGCAATCATGCTCAATCAAATTATGAAAGCATTGGTATTGCTGCCATTAAAAAGGCCACAAATGTTTTAATAAATATAAATTATTTTACAGATTTTTACAACTGTTTTTCATAACATTTAAACAACACAGTTCAGTCTCTTCGTAACATAATTTATCTGTTTATTGGTTATGTATTTAGGCTAAATAAGAGACTCTTTGGCGTGCTCAAAATTAATGATGAAAAATGTTTATATATATATATATATATATACAGTATATATATCATACATTACATGAAACGGAAATATATAATCGTTTATAATCGTATTTTATGAATGAGTGCTTTAAAGTATTTTTTCTGCCGTGATAACAATTCGAATGTGTTTGTGTGAAAATGCATTTAAAATATATAATATATTGGTTTTCCGGTCTATGAAGGATAAAAAATCTATATATTTATTAGTGCATCGCGTTGTCTAAAACAGATAAATATTTTTATACATATAATTTTTAAAACGCTATTTAAAAGAGTACAAGACAAATAATAATAATACCAATAATAATAATAATAAATCACAGCTCCTGAAATAAAGAAAAAAAAACGTATATGGGTGGTTCTTCAATTAAAGGCACTTCTGACGACTTGATATCTTAAAAATAAAACTTTAAAATGTTAATATGTGCTGCAAAAGTGGATTTGGGGTATAATGTTTGAAGGTTTAGATTTTATAAATCATGTGGTAATGATGTGAGATGGTAATGATATTTCTCAGCTTTAGAGAAAAGTTGGATAAACCTTGGACTTAAGTTAAAAGTCAATTAATTTTGCATGTGGAAAAGTAAAAATGTGTTTCATCTCAATTAAACGTCTCCAGTACTGAACGGGTTGGTAAATAAAGCAAATCATGATGCAAAAGTCTTATTGTACTACTTATAAAATACGACATTGAAAAAGCGAAATTCTTTTTTTAAATTAGCATTAGTTATAAAAAAAAAAGGTACAAAATATACAGTTTAAAGCCATTATAATTTATCTTTTACAAGTATGCAATTGTAAAAACAAAAACTAAACAAAAAGCAAGCTTCTTTGTAACAGTCTTGGATAGTAAACATCAGTGCCACTAATTGAAGAATCATTAATTAAACTGACCATTCCACAGATTCTTCAGACTTAGATTTCAATTCGTTTGATTTTCGGCTCGAGCTACATGATGGCTTGTGCTTTCACTCTTTCACACAGAAGACAACAGCAGTGGGCAGGTGCAGAATGAGTCCGTGTCTGTCTGTCATAGGAAACTTACAGCGCGTCCAATCGGTTTGCTCGGCCAATTATTCAACAAACAACTGGACTCCCTTTGATGATATGAAGCGTTTCCGAGAACTGAGTTAGACGGGAGCAAGCTTGATAGTTTAATTTGCCATACATAAAGCTACAAACAGGCGTAAATACAATTTTTTCCCCCTTGGTCATTCCTTCGACTTTAAATAGACAGCTATCTGATGTTAATTTTCAGAGTGGTTTATATTGTTTTATTCATTCATTGCTTTCATATTACAGTTCAGTAGTTAACGTGATGTAGAGAAAACCAAAGTCGTCGTCTTAATACGAACTTTTATCCTTTTATTTCTGAGGAGAAAAAAAATGTAAATGTTTTATCTGATATTGCTGATGCATGTGACGTCATGAAATCTCATTCCTTCCATTTAACATATTTTTTACACATATAGTATGCATTAACGAACATATATTAATACAATATATAAATACATAAAATATTTTTAATGCTTGGTATCTTTTTTGAATAATTTAAATAAAATTACTTTGTATGATCAAACAAAATTCAGTGTGATCTAATCAGCAGTTTTTGATTATAGTTATACAAATACAATTAATATGTTCATAGTCAATATTTAATCAGGAATATTTTTTACCATGTATCATGGTATACCTATAATCATTTAAATAATTAATAAATAAATGCACGTGTTTTCCAACACACTATCAATAACTATTCAACCATAAAGCAAGTTTAAATTAAGTGAAGTAATAGTGTTTTGCTATTCTGTTTTAACAGGGTATGGAGGAGGCATCCGCTTTGGGGATCCTGGACCATTCTGTTATCAAGAAAGGTGAGAGTCTGTACCTCTGATGCATATAAAGAAGAGGGGGGCGACCTCTCCAGCTAGAAGAAAAAAAAAAGATTTTATGTGCTGCTCAGACAGCA